GCGGCAATTAATTCAACTAAAATTCCAGTGAGTGACACGATCTGCAAACAACGTCGACAGACGATGGGAATACGCTTCGGATATTTCTTCGCTGCAACACGCAGCCAGCAGACCGATCTGTGCAAATATATTTCTCTGGACGTACAAGGACGACCCGCTGCAAGGCGCGAAGGCCGCAATCCGCCAGCTCCTGGGCCAGGTCGGGGAAGTAGAAGGCCATGTCGGGAGAGAAGGTACAGCATACACGTAGTTCCCGCAGAGATGAGGCATGAGCGCGAATGAGAAGCATGGTGGGCCTGTGCTTAGCATTAATGGCCACCTGAAGCCAAAGCAGCCTGCCATGCTGCGAGGGGGGCAAAGTCAGATTTGGACCATGGTAATTAAACACACACAAGCTGCGCAGCCTGGGCATGCGTTCAACACATCGCAGCTGATTCACAGTCATGTAACACACAGAGAGTTCTTCCAACAGCAACGGTAGGTCCGGGTGGTTAACATTCTTAGCGCATGTAACATCTAGTCTTTTGAGTCCCGACATCTTCTCCACTTCCTCCATGACGCTGGGCTGAGCCTCCCAGGTGTACGGGAACCCCAGCTCCTCGAGGTGTGGCCCCACGACCTGCAGCAGGTCCTCAGAGCCTTCGCCATGTAAGTTCTTCAGCCTGCGAGGAATGGCCCATCGATGCAGGACGTCCCGAAGAATGTCAGCCACTTTTAGACGACCATTGTCGAGGTGTTTGTGAGTTATCTTAAGGGTAGAGATGAGAGGCGGCCCCACGTATGGCGCTGCAGGGGCGTCAGGAACGGCGATGGCGTCGTCAACCTGGAGAGAAAGACAGTGGATGAGCACCTCGTACACACTAACATGAGCACTGTTCACCTGCTTGGAGACTCACCTTTCTCAGCTGGCCGTCCGCCCGCAGCTGCAGCATCAGGCGCAAGATGTCGCCGCACCCACCGCGCTGCACAGAGGCCGTCCAGGCAGAGCCACCCTCCTCTTCGGCAGTGACGGTGCACTTGGCGGAGGTGAGCAGGCGGTGGCTGGCCTCCAGCTGCCGCGCCAGCTGCAGCGGCTCCTCCGCGGCGTCCGACGTGGTGCCCACATCGCCGGCCGCCTCCCGCTGCACCCGCCTCTCCAGGGCCTCCTCCACCTGGCCAAGCTGGGCGACCGACGACTCCAGCTGGCTGTTGAGAGCCTCGACCGCCTGAGGAAGCACCAGGTGCAGCATCTCCACCATCTTCCGCCCCGCATCCGCGCCCCGCTGAAGCTGCTCCAACTCTAGGTCCTTGGTCTTGAGCTTCTTGCAGGGTGGTGCGTCCTCGTTCTCCAGCAACTGGGCGACTAGAAAGTTGTCGGGTAGGTCCTCAGGTCGGCGTTGCCTAAATGCCTAAACCAAGGTTGTAGGAAACAAATAACTTGGGTTGACAGAAATGCAAATTATGTTACATTTTATTCCAGCTGGCAAAATAGTTTTCCACAAAAACCAGTAGAGGTGGTAGTAGGGAGGGCATTGATCCTGGATAACTCTGTTTTGTCAAAATGACATCAAGTGAAGTCAGTGCCAAAGTTTTGTTATTATGGTGGGCTGTTTTGACATCATTTGACATCAAATGACATTACATGATTTAAAATTGACGTCAATGCAGGACAACAATATGACAAAATTTTACACTGACATATCTTGATGTCATTTAGACAAAACCGTATCCTCTGTGGATGGTATAAAACTTGGTAATGCAAACCACATGTACGTGGGCAAACCATAACTCACACTTGCGCTTTCTTCTTTTTCTGTTTTTATCTCAAACCGATTTGATTATGTTTCTCTTATTATTTGGTTTGCTGTCTAACCTAAATTACCCATTCAAACAATTAATTCTTTGTACTACACGTTGAGTGTGTCAAGTGACTCAGATAGAAGAATATTGGCATCAGACACAAGATATTAAGAGCAAACTGACCTTCCTGCAGGTTGGGCACTTCCTCCCCATGTCAGGTTTTTCAACACATTCCTTACAAATGGTATGTCCACAGGGTAAGCACTTAGGACGGTGGGAGTCCAGGTCAAAGTTGACGAAACAGATATCACACTTCAGATTCATCTACAACACAAAGAAATAGCAGTGTCATGATCATAATAAATATATATAATGTACTTTAATCAAGGACGCAAGATGGAAGATCTTGAAACAAAGGTAAAACTGAACCGCTTCACAACCACAAAAGTAACTAAACACTGGACTTACTTTTCCACGAGTATCTGTTCTGCGAACCGCAAGTAAGATGCACCGATGGGCCGTTCAAACCGTCTCCAGCACGAGAAAAACAGAAACTCGCTGTAGGTTGAACTGCAGTTTCAACGTTGAACGAGTAATGAGTTCTCGGAACAAAGGTTATGTTGTTAGTTTGATTTGATGAAAACACTCGGCTGCTACGGTAGAGCCCGCGTTAGAATTTTTCATCTTTTTTTTCTGGTGCCAGTGACGTGGCTTGCGATTGGCTGTGCGGTCTCGACTCACGGCGCAGGCGCAGGGCGCGTGACGCATGAACCACGGAGCCCACGGAGTAACTCCAGTGACCCTCGGTCAGCCCCCATTACTGTTATATCAAGTTAAGCCAAGCCGAACGCGCAAGCCCAAGCCCAAGCCGAAACTCAAGCCCGATGCGACGAATTTTTCGGATTAAAGTTATGTTTTTAGTGTTTTCAGAGTTCATTTTTACGCGCATTGCCGCAGCTAGTGCGTATTTAAGTGCATTTGTGCTACTGGGGCAAGAATTCTGTGTTACTGGCATTACTTTAATCCGAAAAATTCGTCGCATCGGGCTTGAGTTTCGGCTTGGGCTTGGGCTTGCGCGTTCGGCTTGGCTTAACTTGATATAACATACGCCGCTCGACCCAGGTGAGCCTTGCGGAGAGCTGAGCTCTCCAATCCAAGCCCCTAGCATTTCAATAAAGCCGGATGATAGCAAAGGAACGAATAATTTGCTATGGAAATTGAAATGGTGGCTGTTTTTCGAATATACAGCATTCATTGCATTCGTACTTTGTTTTCTTGCAGCTTGTCTAGTTGTTCCTTAGTGAATTTAATAGTGTCAAACAGGAGTTGTTTTCAAGGGTTTGGGACAAATGCAGTCCAATGTGGCAGTCCCCCCCCCCCCTCTCCGATCAGGGGCAGCAATCGGAGAGCTCCCTGAAAACAACGGGAAACGCCTTCTAAATTGACTGAAACAGGGTGAGGTTGGTGGTGGGAGGACGGAAGTGGAGCGTTCTCAGGGAGCTCTC